TTATATTAATTTCAGACCATGCTGGTGAGTGCGATGTGGTTCTACGGAACAGAATGATGAAAGATGTATCTGGCACTGCAGGTGTCCAAATGCCATGCCATTGCCTGTATAAACGGTTCACTTCCGCATCTAGGATCAAAGATATGGTGTAATATGCCATGAAGTTCGGACTTGATGGAAATGCTTTATTCAGACTTGCTTAACGCTGTTGTAGTGTTAAACCAATGGTGACAAATATCGCTGTTTGTTGACTTTGCTCATTTTAATGAGGTTGATGGACAGTCTCATTGATGGTAAATTTCTAAACAAAACTGTTTCACTTATTCTGATTCCTTAATCCATGAAATTGCATGGTATTTTTCAGCAATTGAAACAGCAAAAGCTTCAAAATGACATTCCTAATCAGCGTAGTGAAAAAATGTCATTTTAATTAAATTATTGATTATGTGATTGGTCAGTTCGCAGGGCTTCAAACTCAGTTTTGAAAGATCGCGGCGCGAATCCTGACTGAGTCAGTAGCCTTCATTTTTTCGAGTGAGATAAACTAATACCGCGGTGACTTAAAGAAACAGAATATGATAGATGCCACAGAAAACGAAGGAATGGAAAGACAATAACCGTCGCAATGTAAGTCTTCCATCTGGTTTTTTGATTTGAAGCATCCAAGCTTTAAGAAGAACTTGTACTTTCAGTTATGCATTTTCAGAAGCTCCTGATAGCTCTCCTTTAGAATCGCTTCTTCCGACAGTTAATCGTTCCCACTTCAGAATTAATGCAGATTAATACACAAATCTAGAAATCGAAAAGGTCTTTCTGTGCCTCAATGTGAAGAAGTCTGTGATGAGGAGAGAGTTTCACCGGACTTAATTATATATGAAAGATGAGAATGGCACACAAACTCCATGCCTTGTTTAATCACATATTTACCTCAAGACGTTACGCTGGAGATTTTAAGTCGTAGAAATCGCCCGTATATTTAAAAGGGAAATGTAGCACAGCGTCGGTAGTGGGAATTATAATAATATCATACTATCGTCGACTTGACATAACATTCCTGCTTCTGAAATTACACATCATTTGCTTATTCATGACATGTCACAGAGTATGTCACGAAACGCGTGGGGAATAAACATGGTAACATCTTGTTTTGGTGTCCTCAACCTCAACTATGAATCATCAAAGGA